AGGGTTACAACAGCAGCTAAAGACTACATTGCCTGTCAGGGTCCTCGTGCCCACAACAGTCAATCATTTCTGGAGGTATGATCTGGGAACAACGAGTGAGAGGCATCGTTATGGTAACCAATTGCACTGAAGGAGGAAGGGTAAGTCAACAGGGACATTTGAAAAAAGTTTTAAATCCAGATTTGAAAGGAAGTACGAATTTCATTCAGTGACTCACTGTTAATAATTTGCTAAGTGTCAAATGGTGACTTCATTCACACGTATTGCCACAACTTCAATAACCTATTTTTCATTATGTTTTTTCCTAGACGAAGTGTGAGCAGTATTGGCCTGCAGACAGTAAGCCTGTGCCTCACGGAGAGCTGATAGTAACCCTTAGGTCTGAAAAGCAGGAGCCCGACTGGACTTTGAGGGAATTTAGAGTGAAAAATGTATGAAACCCTCTTCAATGTTTATGATGTAACTTAATAGGCTTCTTATTAATACGTTTCCAAGTCACAAATAACTATCTCATGTTTCATAAAACAAGCTTGTTTGAGTTTGTGCACATTTGCTTTTAAAGAGGATAATGCTTGAGAACTTGAAATATATTTGCTCAACACAAATATTTACTGTATTGAGTTCCTCTATTTGCATCGTCTTCACAGAGGAACAACTCAGAGGAGCGCACAGTTAAACATTTTCACTTCACTGCCTGGCCTGACCACGGAGTCCCTGAGGGCACAGAGGTGCTGATCCAGTTCAGAGGACTGGTGAGACGGCACATAGAGAGAGACGGGGCTGGAGCACCAACTGTGGTTCACTGCAGGTACAAGTTTTACGTCAGGAGAGTAACCTATGCTATTATTTTGGAAGTTTTGTTTAAAAAAACAATTCAGTGAAACAAGAAATCAGACAACGGTCAAAGACAGGAGCCCTGTGGTTAGGTCAAATGAATAGCTTACTGCTACATCATATGATATAGATATGCATACACATTTTAAATAAAATATCAGCTTTTGAAACTTACTGGCTGAATTTTCAAGTCAGTATAAAGTGAATAGTTGCTCAGGTCTTATGGGACTACATGATGGTGACCATCATACCTTTTGCTGCATGTCTCTCTTTTAGTGCTGGAGTGGGGAGGACAGGCACTATCATGGCCTTGGATGTGCTGCTTCAGCAACTAGAGAAAGAAAGAGCGGTGGGCATCAATGGCTTTGTGCACAAGATGAGACTGAGTCGCCCACACATGGTGCAAACTGAGGTAAAACTAACCCTCATTCTGAGCTATGACTTCTTTAGGTACCCTTTATAATCTTTTGATTTTTGGAAACAGGTGTTGAAACAGTACAAGCACTGTTCTATAGCAAGTTTAAGCTTTGCGTATTTTTCCACTTGGATGTACATTTTCAACAGAGTTGTCTTTTACAGTTCCGCATTTAACCTACTAATGTAGACAATTTGACAATTGAATTACACAGTGACAATAATGTATTAATGTATGTGTCACTGCACATAGTTGTGTGTTTGCCAAATACTTTTACATTCTGTGTAATTCAAAATGTTAATAAGTCCAAACACAAAAAGCTTGGCTTACATTATTAGAAAATTATGATAAACATCTTTAAGGAAGTATCACCCAGAGCAGTGTGAGCATTAATACTTTAACCCCAAAGTTCTGCTTTCCACATGACCCACAGATTTGGTTTGTGTATTTCAGTCTCAGTACGTGTTCCTGCACCAATGCATCATGGACCGCCTGCAGTCTCATGAGAATACTGAAGAGAACATCTATGAGAATACTGAAGAGAACATCTATGAGAATACTTTAGAGAATACTGAAGAGAACATCTATGAGAATGGAGACACGATATACGCCAACGCCACTGCACTCCGAGTGTTTCCTCAACAAAAAAACATAAACTAGACAACTTGACAGTACTGATCATCATTCTTTTATGCACTTATAATTAAATCTACATGCTATATTTTGCTAAACTGTAAATATTAAAAACATGTAAGCCTATATATTAATATAAATTCATAGTAATCTTTAGATTTTATTTCATGTATAACATTGTGTTCATCTTATCAGCTTAATGTGTATGATTCTTGTTATTATTATTATTATCATCATGTGAGGGAACAATATGATGACTGAACAATTTTTTCGCATTACATCCAGACTTTATTTGTACAAGAAATAAAAATATTTTTTATAAACAAATATATCTGAATGTGTTTACAAAGTCTTTAAATGAAATGAAAAGACAACATGCGTCACATTTTCCGTTAGTGTCAACAGTAACAAACTATTTACATTTTGCATAATGAGCTGGGTTTTGGGTCCAGTGTTTGTCCTCGATGTATGTTGATGACAACACACCCGCTCAAGCATCCTCTTATGTGTCTTGATTCGATGTGTCCTGGCTACAGAAGCTGCTAGAGAACTTTTCATCGATGATTTCCTGTCTGGCTTTTAAGGCCTCGGGGATGATCTCGGTTGGCACTGTTTGCAACTTGCTTGGATGCAGGGGCTCAATTTTACCAGTTACAGGCGGGGGAGGGACGGAGAACTTCTTAGCGAGGTTATGAAGGACACAGCATGCCTTGATGATGTTGCTTTTTTTGTCCAAAGATTCATCGTTTGCAAAACCAAGTTGCATCAGACACCTGAAACGCCACTTCATGGAGCCGAGTGTATTCCGCATTACCTTTTGGATCTTTGTGTGGGCCTCGTTAAAGCGGATCTCTTTTTCATTTGCAGGTTCTGCCAGAGGAGTCAGGACATGTTTGCTCAGGTTGTATCCTTTCCCACCTAAAAGAGACAGGACATTATGCAATTAAAAATATGTAGCATTATTTGTGTAGGGTACAAACCAGACTTGCAGTGTACAGGCCTTTTTTTTGGCAGACAATTGAGAAACTGTACACTTCCCTAAAAGGAAGCTACATGATTAAACCAGAAGATAGTGGTGGATGAATTGACAAAGCATATGTGTTTCAGAACTGACACTAAAAAGGATGTGTAACGTTCCTGCATACAATATAATAAAAGTATATAATTATACTAATAACATGATATCAAGTAGTAATTGTATGACATGACAGCATTACAGGGGGTTGTTACAAAATGCTACTGACATTGTTATGATGTGATATGGTCTTTTGAAATCTTGAAGTATTAAATTAATTCTATAGAAACCTTTTTATTTTGCTTTAAGGCCAACTTTCTGACTTGTTCCAGAGATTTCAACCACACATCTTGGTCTCTGGTGAGTCTTTGGCATACAACTGAACGCTTGACACACATTCACACTTCACATTAATTTGTTAATCATTAGAAAATGTATATCTCTGTGCCTGTAGGGAATTTCCTTACATCTGGGGAAAACCTCTACTTGAACTAAAGGATAAACTGATAACAAGTTGGGGCTTAAAGCTCACTGGGAACATGAAGAACAAAGGCCATTTCTTTAAAGATTCATATGCTCAAAGGCCAATTTGTTTTGTTTATCTTGGTCAGATATGCATGTTGATGTGGTAGTGTAGTGTTTGTTTTATTCTTTGAAACACATACACTGTTAGATACAAAGCTACATTTGAGTTATATGTGTTTTGTTTGAGTAGGTTTTATTGACAGGGAGGCAATGAAGTAGTGATGTGTGAGTGGGATGATTATACACTGTAATGTAGGCTACTATAATGTGTCACTTTGATCCAGCTTTTGATCATTTGTATCTTACCAATAACCCAAAACGGTCCATGCACTTCCTCCTCCATCTCCTTCCCTTTGATGGATGAGTACCACATGTCCTCCTCATACATGCTGCCCACACAACACTTCTCCACACTCAGTATGTTTCCGTCGCTGTCACATATGAGCTGGCTCGACACCGATGTGAAACCCAACGTGTTGAGGAAAGACCTGAACCTCTCCTTCTCATATGGAGAGGCTCTGATCCTAAAGTGTGCTGGAGCCAGGACGCCCAGCGCGTTTGGGATCCCGCAGAACTTCTCAATCCTGGAGGCGACACTATTTTTGGCATTGTGGAACAGTGGGAAGGAGATGAACGCATCGGACATCCCGGCCAAGACCTCGGAGACTGTGCTGAGGATCTCGGGGCAATCCGCCTGGCTCTGTCCAGCCCTCAGCAGGAGGTCGGGGGAGGAAATTCCGTGCGCGTAATAGTTCAGAGCCACCATGACCATCTCGTCCACGCACAGTTCTCCTTTCTTCGAGTCGATTTTCTTTAAGCGGATGCGCACAGCGTCTGTGATGAACGCGATACAGGGTCTGGTGAGGTGAAACACCAGAAACAAAGCACCGTCGTCGAATTGGTCGAAACACGTCGGATCCACGTGGGTCTGCTCGAGGAGCTCCTTCTGGACCGCGAGCCACACTGGCAGAGCAAAGGCCATCTGATTACTATTGTACTGAGTTTAAATTCAGATGTGACTAGAGAAAAGAACGGCTGACAAAAAGTAAACAGTAGTACATTACAAGTGTCATGGAAGCTGGGTCTTCTTCTGTCATGTTAAGGCAGTCCACAAAGCTGCTCTTCATCGCCACCCAGCGGAAAGGCATGCTGAAGTCACTTTAGTGGAAAATACTATGACTTTCCAATTAAAACATGTTGGAAATATTTATGTTTATCGTGTGATTGTTGTTATAAAGACAGAGGAACAACATTTGTTCCTTACCTCTGTCCATTTGACTATATTTGAGTCGGATATGCAACTTTCTATAAATAGGAAAAAGGTTATTAAAGGAGACCTATCATGCTATATTTAAATGATATAGTGTATGACCATACCTATATAAGGTATATTTACACATTTTATTTTTCAAAATACCAAACAGATCATTTTTTAGCCATGCCTCGTTTCGCTAATTTTCGCTCTATTCCAAGCCTGTCTTTGAAAATTCTGAGCAGCAGCTGACCACGCCCCCCTGCAGAAGAGGGGGGCATGAGCCGGCGAGAGTCACGTTACCATGTTTGCTGTGATTACGAGTGTGGAATAAACATGTCATCTCAGAGCAATGCATGTGCTCAAGCATATTATCAATTCGATCCAGAAACTGACCCTGAAGCAGCGGAGGTTTTGGTGGAGGTGCAAACATCTCGGTTGCAGCAGGACGTTTCTGAATGGTTAGTTGACAAGCTGTTGTCCCTATTTATTTTACTCTGTTTGTTACGATGCTTGCTACTTATTCCGTTCATATTTTGGCTAATTAGCAAGAATGCAATGTGTACAGTTTGTAACTTAGAGTTTGACCCAGCAATATGTCTCTGAAAGGCGGGGAAAAGTTGTGTGGATAGAGGCAGAGCGCAGCGGCAGGCAGGCAGAGAGGAGTAGGCTGCGATACCCCCCCCCTCCCCCCCCACAGAGCACACCCAGAGGACAGGCTGCGTCACTTCACTTTGTAACTCAGGAAAGGAGTGAGTGTTAAAAGTGCATTAAATTGTTTTAATCCGACAGCCGCTGATGTGCACGGAAGTCTGTCCATTGCGTTAACATTTGAATAGCCAAATGGACGGAAACCCGTCCTTCAGTATATGCGAATGAGAGGTTTGGCAAGCACGTGGCCGTGGCTCATTCCCCTGATAGGTTGACCAATAAGCGGAGCACCTCTCTTTGTGACGTAGAAAAGTGTTGAAATCTGCATCCGTTTTTTTCAGATCCTTTGCAGCCCCTTTTTTTTAGAGATTTGGCTAAGGAGGAAAATAGAGAGGGTTGTGTTTTTTGACACTTGGTTAGTTCCCTGGAACACCGGGGACACATATTCATGTATAAAAGACGTACAAAGGTGCATTTTGCATGATAGGTCCCACTTAATGGTGTACTTGATGTGATGGTATGTTTTGTTCTATTGGACAGACACAATTGTCATATATATTATTTAGATTCAGATTATTCTTCCACGTTAGCATACATTTCAATGCTTTCATCGTTTTCTTGTTGATCCAAAGGAAAAGGAGACCTTACTCTTACCAAAATATGAGAGATGAAAAAGCTGCCAAGATTTATATTTGAAAGGAAATACACTTATTTTTGAACTCTTAGGGAACTTAAAGGTCACCTATTATGCAAATTCCACTTTTTCATGTCTTTTATACATACAAATGTGTCCCCCCCCCACCGTATCACCTGAATCTCCTCCTAGAGAACTCATCTTCTCCGTCACAAGGTCTTCTCCCTTAAAAACGTTACACAATGTCCCTGACAAAAAATGACAACGGCCAGATCTTGCCTTGGGCCATCTTCTCTGACATCTATCAAATTATCTATTAATTTCAATGTTCTTGTACTCAACAGCGATGTCTTATCCCGAGATCACATATGTGTTTATCACAATACTAAATACTGTAGAAAATGGAAAGCGTGAAGCAGAAGACATGACCTTCAGGGAGAGGGGCTCTCATTATACTGCTTCCCCGAAACGAACCAAATACAGACACTTGTTGTCCGATTTGGAGGAAGAAATAGTCTGCTACATGAAATGGTAAACATCCTTTAGTTTTTTTAAAATACAGAACCAGACTGTTTCCCCATTTCTATCTTCATGCTAAGAACCAAATACAGACACTTATTTTCCGATTTGGCGGGGTCGAAGGGGCATCTTGTGCATGCTGGTTTACAAATGATGCTTTGTCAGGAGATTGTTGACAAAGACAAGAGCCCTTCTTGTGCAAAACTGGAAGTGATCAAAACACAGTGAAAGGTCACTTATTATTCAAAATCTACTTTTTCATGTCTTGTATACAAAAACATGTGTCCCTTCTGTGTAAAGAGATTCTGAAAGTTTCAGTAAAAGCGATTCTCTCTCTTTTTGTCCTGATCCATTTATATAAAAACCTGTCTTAAAATGAGCTGATCAGACCTTATCACCTGAATCTCCTCCTAGAGCACCATTGTGTTCTTTTTAACCAAATCTCTCTCAGAGGGGCGTGGGGAGTGGCTCCTTATTTTCATCTAAAGTAACAGACAGAGAATCAGCACTTTGGAAACAGGGCTGAAACAGAGGGGATTATGGGATGCTACAATGATCTGTTTGGAATTTCGATCAAAACACTTCAGAGACATGTTTTGTATATATCTGAGACCTATAATATATTGATGAAAAACAGTATAATATGGGGAAGAGAAGTGCTGATTTCCCCCTGTCTTTTTAACAGATATCCCCTTTGTGTATAGAGTTTATGAA